TAATGTTTTTTGAACATTAAAGCATGTCAACATATTCTGTTACACCAAATACACAAAATAATGATCTTTAACAAAGCATCATATGACCCCTTTAAGCACCACAAAAAAACAAACAAAAAACCTCAGAAAGTATAGACAATGTTCAAATCATTGTCTGTATGAATTACATATACACACACATACATATATAAAGTTATATATGTGTGTGTGTGTGCAAGCGGAATTCATTGAGGGATTTGTCAGTGTGATTCATAGATTAAGTATTTCAAATACAGGCTATAATATATGCTACTGGCACGCACAGAGGTTTTTTTTCCTACCATCTTTTGGGGGTTTCTTGCTTTTAGACTAGTCGACTAGTCGGATACAAAACTTTCGTTTAAACGACAGTCAAATTAGTCGTTGCGCACATCCCTAATATATATATATATATATATATATACACACATACATACACACATTTAATAAACATAAAATAAGACTTGTACATATTATTTAGAAAAAAACATTTGAGAAAATTCGTATAGAATAACATAGCGCACACACACATATATATATATAGAACATGTTATGATCGTGTTTATGAGTCGGTGCCATCATATATCTGTATAGATTGTAAGCAGAAGGCCGCTATCTAATAATACATTATTACCCTCTGTACATCTCCTCCTCCAGATTGTTTCCGTGTTCAGGATCTGCCTGAATTTCTTGCACACCAGCGCCAGGTTGGGCAGCGCAGCGCCGGGTAGAGAAGAGAAGATCTCCACCAGGAGCTCCGGCGGCAGATCCAGCAGTGACTGCGGGTGCGGCGGCCCTGCAGAGGCCGAGGCCCCAGAGCCGAGTCCACCGGCTCCGCTAGGCCTGCTGTTATGACAGCTGCTGCTCCGGCTGACGCTGCTGCCCTCAGGCTCGTCTTTCGTTTTGCCCACGACCCTCTCCTCTTCCTCCTCGTCGTCCATGTCCATCTCGGAGTCGCTGTCCTGATCCGCCTGGCTGTGCCTCTGCCGCCGCCTGCACCGCCGCGACTGACCCACTCCACAGAGCCTGGCACACACCGCCATCCGTAGCAGCATTACATCACCACCGCTCACCGCTGCTGTCCCCTGCTGCGCTCCTCCAGAGGCTCCTCTGCTGCGCGCGCGCGCGTTACGTGCCTAGGCGTCTTCTCGTGACGCCATCGCGCAGCACGCTGACGCCGTTCGTCTGGACGTCACTGGTTACCGAAGGTTAGTTTTAAATTTGTTTATCTATTTAAACGATCATATTTAAGGCTTTAAAATCAACAACAACATCAAAAAACAAAGAATATTTTACGCCATATTGTTTTTCTAAATACCGCACGATAGCGACATCTTGCTGTCAAATATGAGTTTTCCATTGGGTGGAAAATAATTATTGTTATTACACATAAAATATCAACTGAATATATTTTATTAATGTAAATGTATTTTTTCCCCCAACAAAATACCTGATTCTGGCTGAGACAACAGACGATTTCATCTACAGTAAGTTATAAAAGTAAACACGAGTAACGTTATAAACACAAAAACAGGTTTTAACAGTGTAGATATCAGTGATATTTAAAATGCTAGACCATATTCATTGTCTTTGTGTCTTATTCGTTCAAAGTAAAATAATAAATTGATAACTGATAAGACTGTGATGAAATGTAATAGATTGTAAAATGATTATCCTTTAGGGGGCGCTAGTCGGATAAAAAGCCCAATCAAAAAGCGAGCTATGTTTGTAAATGTTTATTTTCGTCTCACTGGACACGCTTGTCAGTAATATTGGTTTAGTATCATTTAAAACGTATGAACGTCATCACAAACGGCTGTGATTGGTCGAAAAGTGACGCTACTGTAAGCTCAAGTCCCTCGAGTCAGTCAGTAACATTAACATGATGATAAAATAGACGACAAAGTCTTAAAATAGTTCTCAATGTTTATCATTTTACAACTTCCGTTTCCATAGCAACCAGGAACAAACGGAAGAAGCACCTGTGCTGGGCGACATGGTCACTTTATTCACATTTTGCGGTCAAATTATATCTATATTTTAAAATAATGGATATTTTGTTCATCTCTGCTGTTCTGTTCATGCTATTTTGTCCAGGCTGAGGTCGAAGACACTTTGAAGAGAATTCAGGGCATTAATGGTGTTATTGGCACAATCGTCGTTAACGCTGAAGGTAAACTAAATTATTTACCATGGCTTTACTGAAGTAATATTAATTGTAACGTACTATAATATAATAGCTCCCAAAACGTTACATTGGATAAGCTAATATAATATAATACTTCCTGTGACTCTAGGAATAAACTGGATATGATAATATAATATAATTGTTACTGACTATAGGCTAATCGTCAGACTATACACAATAATATAATATAATATAGAAAAGGACGTTACAATAATATAATATATTATATTATATTGTGTGTTCATGGTGTGTGTGTGTGAGTGTGAGTGTGTGTGTGTGTGAGTGTGTG